GACAGCGAGAACAGCGGACGAAACGAATGACTTGTACACATTCGATAGGAAAAGAACAGTCGGATGGAATACCGGAACTTCCTACTCCCAAACTGCTAAGAAAAAGGGAGAATGAATCCACGGTTAGAAAACAACACCGTTGTAGGGGAGACCGAAGTTCACCTTCAAGCAAAAATCAAGATCAAAGAGCACCAAAAGGTCACGTACCATCACATTAAATACGCCTGTGGGAACGAGTTGGATGGCCAACTCACTGGCGTTTGCGTGCGAGAAAATCCGGGTCGAGATGTAAACAATCATGAGCATGCCAGCAAGTCTGGCGCGTTTAAGACGAATATAACCACCGCCAGTTTGTTTTGCCCATTTGAGCGCGTAGGCTCGAGCCTCTTCGGGAATCGGAGGGTTTTGACGATGATGAAGCCTAGATGGTGGTGGACGAAGCAGACCACCAAGTGCGGTTTCCAGTTGTGTGGCCCATCGATCCTCCAAAGCAGCCGGAGAGGTCTTATTAAGGGCGACAGCACCAATACTCAAATCCAGTTCTTGGAATCTGCAAACAAGTGATAAAAATAGATAATTTGAGTAGACATCAATAATGTGCGAAAATAATGCGGTTAGACGAAGATAATCCAAAAGGAAGAAACTGGGCACGCAATGAACAAGCGTAATACGAGAGGTAGTCGAGAATAGCACTCGCTTCTGATTTGGAGGTTGGAGAAGGAAAATCCCACGTAGACTGATTGCCTTCGTAACTCTGTATTTTCACCGTTTTACATTTGGATGAACACGCGTACGATTTGACCACAGTGTTCCTGCATCACATAGCAACACTGGTTTACAACTATTGATTTCGGCACAGTGGAACTCCTCGAAGGATAGCAAATTTGCTAGTGGTTTACACCATGCGAGTTATCAACTCAATGTCTCGAATTTCACACGTTCGACCCCGCCCCCCCAAAAAAAATAAATAAAAAAATAAACACATTATATATATATATATATATATATGATCGCCTAAATTGCTTTTATTGTAGAACGATCTAATGTGCAAGAATAAAGATCAATTGCAAAATCCACCAATGCTAAGGCTTAGAAGTTGATACCAAAAGTACAGTCAATCTCCTGTTATGTCACACCCCTCGGGAATTCGAAAAAGCGAGTGAATTCGCGGGAACTGCGATATAGCAAGGTAGACAGTGGTAGATGCTAATAAGTAGTATAAAAATCGGTAGATAGTTTTGTGACAAAATAAACCGGATCGATGAAAAGTAGGTTAATCCCGTTAGTTGTTCCCTGTGTTTATAATTATAAACTGTTTGTTTATAACGGAATTTAGATCTATCGTCCTGCACATATATTATGTATCGAAGAAATTTAAATCTTTTATGACGCCCTCAGCTTAATATCGATACATTGCATGCGGTATTCAGCCCTTGTTCAGTTCTGTGTATAGAAATACCCAAAACTACCTACCTTTCTTCAGGGGAATTTTTTCTGACCCAATTATCCCATGTAAATTCCAGATAATTCTCCATTCCGTTGAAATGTTAGGCTAACAACCGAATTGTTTATATGACGTGCACCATAATATACAACTGTTTTAGCTATAATAATCACATCAGTGTTAAACCATTCGAGGAAAACAAAGATGGACCAGTTCGAATACAGTAAGAAAAAACTGAAATCTAAAATGAGTGAAATATCTGTTACGAGGTATGCTCAGAACATTGAATTCTTTCCCATACTCAAAGCGATTGTTCGCTGTGCAATTAATTCATGAATTTCCATACTTTCTTCAATTTAAGATATCCGACTATCAATTTAAGATGTCACAATATGAATTAAAGATATCCGAGTACCAAGTTAAGATATCATGTCGCTATGTGGATAGTACTTTTGTGATGCTCTTGTTGTCACATGTACTCCATCCGTGTGGGGAAGGCACGCCTACTGTACGGTCGAAGTTCACTGGGCCAGTCTAAGACTCGCAGCTGTAAACAAGATGTGGTTTCTTGCTCGGGTTAGCTGGGCAAGCGCCAGGTCCCTTGTTGCGGCTGAACTATCCGATTGATCGATAAAGGAACCCGATCGGTCGTGTGATCTTCGGGCCGGCATGGGCGGCGGGTAAGTACCGAATTCGATGCCGCTTAAGTGTTGTTATGACATCACCACAGGAGAATCATCTCACATCTCACCCGCTTACCAGTCAATCACGATTATCGTTCACCCGTTTGCACGTTAGTGTGACAGAGCCCATCGATAGACCGAATGACCATAGCTTTGGTGACCACTGTAGCAAAAATGACCACATTCGAGTACCCCACAGTTCAGTTCAGTGCCCACAGAATTGCGAAATAGTAACCAATTTGACGTTGTAGAATACTGCGTCTTTGTTATGGCAAGGGGCGTTGCCCATAAATGGTAAAATAGAGCGTCTTTGAGAAACCATTTTGCGGGTGACATCAGACAAACAATTGTGAAATAACGTAGAAGTCATCTACTCGTTCTTTGAAGAAGTATAACTACATGGAAGGCTTTTTCTATCTATACCTCGGAGGCATCGTAGAGTTTGAAACTTTCCGATCACCAACGGTGATAACTTTTCTCCAGTCACAAAGCAGCAACGCGACCCTTTCTTTGGATTTATTGGACCCAGCAACTGTCTTTCCGTTCCATGTTCTTTCTGGGAGCTGCCTGTAGTACAAAGCTGTTTCATCTACACTGAAAATATCACAGTCAGCATATCCATGTATCAACTGCGTAAACCTGCTCGAAACTCATCACGTGGTACCGCTAAACCTTCTCCACAGACCTGTAAAGTAATGTACATGAGTTGCTTGTTTCTTACTTTGTACGATTGAATACCATATCTGTCTGACCCAGAGCGAAAACAACCTTTGGAAGCCTTGAACTTATTATGATGATGATGGTGCTAGCTGAATTTCCTTCTTACGTACGATGCTCTCCACCATTGGGAACTAACCGTGCTTTTCCCTCATAGCAGTAAACCAAGCCAAAGTTGCCTCATTCACTGCCTTGAACTTTCCGTTGATTTTCAGGTGGCATCTTTCCTCAGATGTTCCAGCGTTCAAAAATTCTCCGATTGTTGTTTGATGGGATACAACATTGTAGACAGTTTCTCGTGAAATTCCAAGTGATTTGGCTACGGAGCTCTGAGTTGCACCTGGCTGTTTCAGCATTTCCAACACACTGCTTCTCTCTGATCGATAGACGCTTGCCCATCTTGACGTCAAATGACACTGTCTCCGATCACTTGCATCGGTGTGACTTCCTCACAAGGGTCATCCAATCACTGAACAGTGCCATGAACGTGTCACACTAGGTGCAACGCCATTGGTCGAGTGCGACATTTCAAGGTGGATGACCAATGGTCGTCTCGAACATCGGTCAACAACCAAGTGAGTACGTATCTGGAACTGAGACATATTGAGGGGTGCGACATCGCATAATCAGAAACTACGTTACTAAGCATACGGTTAGTTTGAGTTTTCCAAAAAGTGGGAAGATATTAGAAAATGCGGTTTCTCAAGGGTGCGACATAGCAGGAGACTGACTGTACAAGAAATGCGGTCAACGGTTCGACTAAGCGATGGACAGTTTTAGTAACGTGCGAGGGAAGTTTTGTCGTTATGACGAGACTGCACCTTGACGTGATGTGTTAGCTTGTACACCTCTCTGACCCAAAGAGACAAACAGGATGGGTTTTCCAGCAGAATATTTAATCAAGCCTGGAAGGTAAGTGGACAGAGGTCTAACAAAATCCAGTCTCCAAATGCTCAAGGTTGAGGGTTCGACTAGAATTAGCGTTTTAGTCGGTAAAATGGTAAAGGATTAATCGATCAAAGTAAATGGGCCTCCACTTCGCTACACTCGCTGACCTGCGGTCAGGTTCTTGACGGAGCGTAAGATTTTGGACGAGAACCCTAATCGTTCTCCTGCTTAGTAACTGGACACCGTGGGACTACTCACCTGTCAAACCCCAATGCATATACAAAGTGAAAACAATTCCATACTGCATCGGTCGTCGGGCAGCATAATAGGGACCGCGTTACCCATTGCATCGAGCGGGGTAAGTACTGATAAGTGAGCTAATGCTCAGATATCCCAGCTTTTGCTTAATTCTTTGTCTTCAACACCCTACCCTCTCTATTTGCCCCTTCTTCAAACCTGTAGTAATCCCTTACGCAACTTGGATGTCGCTCGGTAAAGTTTGATGCAAAACAGCACTGTAGGCCATGTACCACAAAATGCTTTGCAGATTCTAAAGCCTCGTCAATCACTTAACCTCGAAGTCTTCACCGTGAGGACCCTGATGCACGTAGGTTACCAAGCGTGTCTGACGCCAATAATGGAATTCTTAGGGGTTGAAGTTTTCCGTGTGTCCGAGACGAATTCAGGATCCCAGTACTAGAAGCCACTTGAGTGAGCCAGATTCGTCCTTGAAGTACGTTTTTCGCACATCAGGCGACGACCAACCCCGTTTAGTAAACCAGCAGGATCGAAGACGGGATCCTCCTACTTTTTCCAAGATGGTGGCTGATATACTAGTATGCTCTATTACTACCTTTCTGCCCAACATTTGGACACAAGAGGGCATTCCTTCATCGTGAGGCGAATAACTGATGGTTATTGTTTTTAAGAATCTCGCAACAATTGCGAAAACCACCGCGGTATCAGTTTGATCCCGATCGTTACCAAAGTGCTAGCCCCGGTTATACATCGACGTCTGACTCCCTTAAGAGAGACCAACATCCGTGAACAGCAAACCTAATTCCTGCCTGACCCTGCATGTATTGATCAAATTTTTACGTTGCGTCAGGTCCTTGACCTCCGTCACACCCACCGTCGACCAACGATCGTAGTGTTCCCTGATCTGAAAGTAGTCTTCAACTCAATTGACCGCGAAGCTCTGGTGAGTTCCCTTCTTCGAAAAGGATTGCCCCAGAAGTACGTTTACTTGCTGAGGTCACTTTACTCACACACTCCTGATTGAGTGAGGGTTTACTGCGATCTGAGTAGATCGTTTGTCACCAGCAGCGGCGTTCGTCAAGGATACCCTCTTTAGTCGTTCCTGTTCAATTTCTTCGAAATGCTGGAGAATACACTAAGTGGTCTCCAACACGCAGGTATTGAATGGGTAGTCAGAGATTTGGTAGGCTGATGATATCGTCTGTCTAATCGAATGTGTGAAGGACACGCAAAACACTTTTGACAGACTGTTGAGTTCTGTTACCACATTCGGTATGTGCTTTGCACCTTCAAAGTGCAAAGTGACGCTGCAGATGACAAGGGAACGAAGCATGAAGGAATTCACAGAGCTATTAAGTAGAGTAGGTGTCGCCCACCATTCAGGTTGGGGTCCTAAAGACCTTGAAACTGGTTGGTTGGATATATTGAAGGATATAACAGGGAATCGACAGCAGTGGCGTTCTTGTTGTCATTGCCCTAAACAATCCGTTGAGATGTGATCGAAACATGTTTGAGCCGACTTGATCGACATGTCGCCTTTCAGCACACTTCGTCAACACCCGTAATCAGCAATTATGAGCAGGATAAATAAAAATAACATTCGAGACTGTCAAGTGCGGACTAGTGAGCTGACCTTACTCGATAAAACAGCACCGGTAGGTGTTCAGATAAAACGCTGTAGAATTGCGAAATACCAGCCTTCCAACCTGTCTGTTTCCATCGACTTGTTTTTATGACTAAATCCAACGAGTCTACGAAGCATTAAAGGCACAGTGTACTGCAATCTGAATCCAAATGATTAGCTGCATCGAACGTTTCTGTTCGGATATCGGTTCTCATCTGTTGCCAACCCACTTCATTCATCAATCAAGTGACGATTCGGACCACAAAAAGAAGCTCAGACAACGGTGTAAAACTTGACAAAATAGATGAGCAAACGAAGTTTTTGGGTGATCGGAGAAGACATTAAGTATATATCGGTGGGTCAGTATCTCCGAGGTGATAGAGTAGTTAGATGTCTCGATGTCGATGTCTCGGTTTTTAACTACTGCGGATGCAGTAAGTACCTAAAAATTTGTGATCGCTACTAAAGATTGATCAACCGCTTGACACTAGCAGTGAAAAAGCTGGTATTAGGACTTGGACCTTATCGAATCTAGCTCCTTTGGTGTCTCGAAAATAATGATGCATCGGTTTTGATATACTAATCCAGATGCTAAATATCATCATCAATATATTTGCAACACGACGAAGTAGATTTTATTGTTCGAAGAAATTATTCCACGAGAGAATCAACATAGAGTATTGAATTAATGATTGTCTGTTGATCAGCACTCACCCAAAAACATAAATATCCGCCGGTGGCTGATCATTGGGTGGTAACAGCCAACTGTCCAAAGTCAGTGCAGGATCACTACGACCATTGACATTCCATGTACCGACAAAAATACGCACGTTCTCAAACGTACAATACTCGTCTGCACGTTTCAGCAATTCCTGACGTATTAACCATTCAGATTGGGACAGCCGAGCACGATATAGATGATCCTCGAGGAAGCTGTATCGCACAACGGACCGGTTGGGGCGAAAAATGCACAAGTAGCTCTTAGCGAGGAACCGGTTGAATAAACAAACAATCATAACACAAATGGCTGCATGAGGCAAATCGGATGACCTGCTTCCCACCAGCAGAGCATCAGGTGAATCAATGTGAACTACACTGATGGAATTATATGTTCAATTTAGGGAAAGGGTCTAATCAACATGAGTTTATCAGCCATGGGTCCCAAGGAAAGCACCACGAAATTCAACAGTATATAGAAAATAAGCCTAAGTGTTAATATACGGAGGTAAAATTGCAAGGTTAGCGATGTCTGGTCAAAGCGTCTACGGTTAGTTAGTTTGTAAGAACAACAACAACAACAGGCACAATGATTAAATCACGAAAACATTAGACCAAAAGAGAGAAGAGCTAAATGCTCAGGCCCCTGCCGGGATACGCCAAAAGCTGCATATCTATGAGGGTAAAGCTGAAACCCTGGTGGGTGGGATCAGGGGGTTGTCCATGTAAGCCTTTTCGGGATAGAGACAGTGGTTTGTGCGGATTCGACGACCAGCATAGAGTACACAAGCAACCAAAAACCAGAAAATAAAGATAGGTGAACTGCATGAACATCAAACAGTGCGCATCTAGTTTTCAGTCTCCAAATCGATCATCAAAACACAACAAAAAGGTTTTCATGTATAACAATAGAATTAATACTCATACGGGACAGATACTCGCCGAATGAGAAAACTCCCAAACGTTTGCGCATTTTTAATGGAAAGTCGAACAGAGTAAACTGTTTGTTATTGTTCAAATTTTCCACACAGGGGCTAACTTTAAAATGAGGATATTGAAGGTCAGTCATGTGAACCGGCGATATATAAGACTGCTTCGTTGAATGAAGAAACCAGATGATATAACCGAATATTTGTCAATAAAAAGGGATAATACAGGAGCGAGAGTGGATAAAAATCATGAACGCTAACTGNGTGACCATGACAACCGGAGAAAGTACAAAGATGAAAGATAGAACGGGTTACTATAGTCCACTTATAAGGTAAAACACATCTGGAGTGATCTTGTTCTCTTGTGCTTGGGCAGTGGATTGCCTCAGAGTGGTCAGATCAAAACAAAATTTATGGAGAAAAATTGTGATTGGTAAGAGGATCGGTGGAACTAACGTGAATTCAATAACAGAGATGACTTAAGATGGACTGAGTAGGTTGACATATAAATTTATGAAAGCATATTTCAGTCGGATGAACAACATTCATACATTCAGGAAGATCATTAAGGCATCATGAAGACCGGCAAATGTCGCCAGATATCGTCCGAAATAGAACAGCAGAGCAACAATCGGGCAGACTCATACTGATCAAAGCAGATACATTTTAGAAAAAAAGCTAATGGAGGTATAGGAATGAAAATGTGAAATTATATTTACATAATCTGGATAACTTATTGAGGACAGTATTTATGAAAAAAACATGTTCGAAGAAGTCCCTCAATGCTGTTAACTTGATGCGATAATGAAAATGGCGATAGGCTCGACGGAATTCTAACCTACGCATGTGCGCTCTCTGCGTATTATTGCAGCTGAGAGAGGAGACCACACACTGGCGACACTGATATTTTCGCGATTGGTTAACCCAGTCAAGAATGAATAATACAGGGATCTTTCTCAATTGCTCCAAAGTCCTCGATCAATGTCATAGCAATCGCTGGAAACCTCAATGCTCAAGTGGCGGACCACATGTGATTCTAGCCAACCGGACGGACAGCGGAGATGGCCTACTTCAACTCTGCTCTGACTACGGACTAATGCTGGCAAGCCAAAACATCGCGCAAAATCAACGACACCATCTTACATGGTAACCAGCCACATCTTCACAGCGTTGGACCCAAATCGACCACATCGCCATCAGTTATGGGTGGAGGGGCTCGAGTCAAGACTGCCACCGACAACGGATACCCACAAAACAACGTCAGCAAGTTGCAAATCGGCCTTCGAAGCGGAGCTCTCCGATTGCCTACCAATTCAAACACCAACCGAAGGACTCAATGAATACTGGTAGAAAGTCAAGGAAGCTGTGCAAATACCGATAAGAACAAAAGCCGAATGTGGCACCGGCACAAAACAAATGATGGATATTGGTAAGTCCCCAGAGCTGGAAGTGTTGTTCGCTAACGTTTCGTAGCCAAGCTAGGCCACATCATCAGTGCAACTTCGAGGAACAAACAACCAAGATTGAAGGAAGACGAACTTAACGTACTGATGGTGTTGCCTAGACTGGTTACGGGCCGTCTGCGAACAACATATCCAACTGGGTGAACTGACTAACACCAACATCCGCACCCCGAGCTACAAACATTCCACATCATTTCCAATACAAATAATAGATCTCGCCGAACTCCGCTGCCCTCATAGACGCCCGCAGAACTATTCCTGCTGAAACCACATATGAGAAAGCGCGCAAATAAATTAAGCGCCAGCTTATTAGGAGTCAGAGGAATGACCGCGAGAAATGGTGAGTATGGAAGGGGAAAGGAGTGGAGAAAGCTGCGGCTACTGTTAATAGTCGCAATCTCTTCCCTTTAATTAGGAATACAAATCCTAGAAAAATAGGTGTAAGTGAAGTAATAAGAATACGATAGAACACTGATTCATCATCCGCAACACCAACTCGAGTGATGGGCTGAACAATTCGAGTCTCAGTTCAACTGGCCCCCATCGACATCTGAACTATCACCCTCCATCTCGACTGGGCAAATACTCCCAGTTGATGCCAGTTCTCCATTTGAAATGGAGGTTTCCCGCGAAATTAAAAAGCATCAGGTCCCCGATAGACGTGGAGTGGCGCTTGAGTATGGACGCTCAGTCATGGAGTTGACGAAACTCCTAGGCTCAATATGGGGAAGGGAAAAGCTTCGAACAGAATGGTGTGAATCGGTCATGTAACCGATTTACAGGAAAGGTGACAGATCCTCTTGTGAAAACCACAAAGAAATTAGTTAAATCAACAGTGCCTTCAAACTTCTTGCTAACGTCACACTGCGTCGAGGTTGTATCGACCACATCTTCGCTACGTGAAGACGTAGCGCTAAATCCCGAAGCATCGACATTCTCTCAGTGGACAAACCATATATAACTTCCTCGATCGGAAAGCGGCTTCCGAATCAGTTGGCCGCTCTGAACTCTGGCGCTGCCTCTCGCCTAAAGGTGTTCCCGAGAAGTCTTTCCCAATTTGGCGACCTATTTAAGGTAACAGTAAAAGCCCAGTACGAGCTTACGGTACTTTCTAAACCGAGTTCACAACAGAAAGTGATGCTTGTCAGGGTTCTCCTCTCTCTCTCTCGCCTTTTCTATTTAACTTTATTATCGATGTAGTTCTTGAGACAACCTCAACCTAGTGTGCGGAGAACGGTATCGATTTTCTCCCAGATGACAGACTGTCTGATCTAGAGTATGCAGTCGATAATGCACTGCTATTTGAAGATCAAGATATGTTGCAAGCTTTTCTGGACAGCTTGAATGCAAGCGTAGCCATGTTCGGTATGCGTATAATATTTTACTACAAGACTGAATTGGGCCAGCACCCAGCCTCACTCTAACTGGGGAAGTAATAGAGCAAGTGGATAAGTTCTATACCATTTTGACCATATATCCAGAACAGAATGAGATATGTGTATCAAATCAACTGGAATACTGTGCCTCGCTCGTTACCCCTAGATTGACTGTAAGAACCATGAAATACTGCGTTGTGGTTCAGCTATGATAACCGAAAGGTGTTCTGGTCCCCTAATACTTACTGACTTACCGAACACTTACAGTTTCTGATTAGTGGTGGCTTTAGTAATCACTACTTAAAGAACGACCACGTTGGTTTCCCATCGTAAACCTGAACCGAGAAATGGGACAATGGCAATACGGTTGTTCGAAGCCAGTTTGCACTTACTACTTAGGAATGTCATTCGTTAGCTTTAATTCACCCGGTTTACTTTGTGTTGCGGTGATGTTTAAGTAAGACTATATGATTTCAGCGATAAAGATTATCGAATTCAGAGCCCATACTCGGAAATGTGCATTTCGAAAACATTCCAATTTTTGAACTTGTATTTTCTTATAAAATTCCGTAGGTGTTATGAAATAAGTAGTCAGGTTGTGAATGTTTCCATTCGAGTAATAGCCCGGAGGCTAGTGCTGAGTTGAGCAGGGTCTGTTGCCCGCAACAAGGTCGCTAAGATAGCTTGTGCTATATCGTGCAAATGGAAAACGGTCTGATCCGCTGGTCGATGACCGAGCGGGCAGCATGCTTGCGTTCTGCCCATTAGGTTCCGGGTTCGTTACCCAGTTGGGTCGACGGATTTGCACTGCTGATGAGACCCATTCAGGTCAAAGCAGGTGTCCAATGCTTTCTAGCTTATCAGTTCACGCCTCATTTGCTATATACACGACGAACTCATCTTTGAAATGTTATGGAATTTGTGGCATGTTTCGACAGCCCCCCTTTGAGTCATTTTTATTGTAGTTCATTTGATACAGATATCTCATTCTGTTCTGGATATATGATCAAAATGGTATTTTGAATTGTTCAATACTTGGAAGTGCTTGTTCTGTGTCACAGAGACGGCATACAACCGGAAAGTCTGGAACAAACTGGATGTGAATCTAGTCAACACTGATGCATACATCGATCGAGCACGATCGATTGTTGTCCCAAGTGCAGCCACTTGAAGCGCGGTTTACGAATTCCATTGCAGCATCATGCTACAGAGGCAAGCAGTGGTTCAAGCGTTGATCGCGCATGATTCACCAGGTATCAGCGGAGGGGGACAAACACACACACAGACGCGTACGGGTACTTGCAAGAAAAACAACTAATATGTACGGCATGGGAATCGAGGCGTGTGACCGAGGCACGTCTCACAATCGTCCCCAGCGCTTCAACGG